ATTCTTTTGATATTTAAATTTGTTCTTTGGCAATTTCATACATGTAAAGTTTTGGAGACAATCTTTCCCTGAACCTGGAGCTCAACATTTTGGCTATAATAGTTTGACCAGCAAACACCAAGAACCTGCTTGTCTCTAACAGACAGCACTTGGGTTATAGACACATCCTGCTGTCCCCAGCTTTTCCCTAGATGCTAGAGAATCAAAGTATATCTTCATGTACTAAGCAGTTTATACACTGGGCCTTCTTCCTAGCCCAATCCTCTGCATTTTTTATATTAAGGAAATAAAACTGCTTAATAATCACAAGATTCTTTACCTCTTAGTAAGTTTTCAAATAATTTTCATATGAAATAATAGATTACTACCATGTAATAATATATGTAATGATAGATATTATTAGATAATAATATACTATTATGTATAATTTTGTGTGTGTGTGTGTGTGTGTGTGTGTAAGAGCCAGAGCCCAGAAGTCCACACAAATGCAGTAGACAAAGAGGCATCCCATAATTCTAGCTGCAGAAATCAAGGGATTCCCAGAGTAAATTGACTAGTGTGACTCATCAAATGGTGAGCTCTAGGTTTGACTGAGAGACCTAGCCTCAATGGACAAAGTGGATGAGCGACTGGGAATGTACCTCAACACTGACCTCAGGACTCTACATACATACTCACACAAGTAGACACATGCATGCACACACACACATTAAAATGGGGAGAAAGAAGTAGCATTTATCCTGGATTTATTAGCCATCTCACTATTATGCTTCTTAGAGTGCACTGTAATCACAAGGAATGGTTGAAAGATTAGAGTTCTATATAAATAAAGCCATAGTCATAAATGGCCATGTAAAAAACTGTGATGATGTGCATTTGTCATTCTTTTACACACAAGGAAAGATCACCACCAAGCACACCACTTGTCAGTGAATGTTAACTTTTTTATTTTTTTATACTCACATTTTATTGGCCTTTTAAAAGCACCTTTAGTTACCAGTGATTTTTTTTTGTCAAAGACTGAAATGATTTTTGTAGCATCTCATTGTAATTACCTCAGTGTTGGAATGAGTTGCCTTGTAAAGTATATAGCAATCTCATATTGTCTGTTTAAGAAGTCTCAACTTGGAAGTACAAAACTAAAGGTTGAAAATTACTAAAGAACTCACTGAAGTGGTGAAACCTTATTTAAAAGAAGAAGAAAAAAGGAAGTTCTATTTGCAAAGAATAGACAAAGAAAACTTCATCTCAAATACTTCCTGGTTCAAGGTTACTATTGCTCTTGAAGAGACACCTTGACATGCAACTCTTATAAAGGAAAACATTTAATTGGGGCTGGCTTATAGTTCAGAGGCTTAGTCCATTACCATCATGTCAGGCAGCAAGGCAGCATGCAGGCAGACATGGAGCTGGAGCAGAGAGTCTTTACATTTTGATCCAAAGGCAACAGGAAGTGAACTGTCTCACTGGGTGTTATTTGAGCATATATGAGACTTCAAAGTCAGTCTTCACAGTGACACATTTTCTCCAACAAAGCCACACCTCCTAATAGTGCCACTCCCATTGGGGACAATTGTCTTTCAAGCCACCCCACTTCCTCCAACAATTCTCCCTTCAAACAGAGCTACTATATGATGGCCTGTTCTATGGTCCTCATAAAAGTTCTTGTACATCAACTTAGTACACTCATTCCCAGCTTCATGCTCATATGTCACCACACACTTTTGCTCAACATGTATATGTGATTAGAAATTCAACTATGATTTTTTAACCACTGTATATAAATTTTTTCACATTTACATATGGTTACAGCACCAAACCACTCTAATAGGAAAGCACTCAACCTTTCCATCAATAAACTGTCTCCTGGGCCCACAGTGTTTCCCTGGTTCACAGTTGGCTCATATCTATGAAATGAAGGTAGTGTACTGGAAGACCTATATGCTGAACCTTGCTCAGTATAATGCTACAACTCTGATTCGTCACTTCTAATGAAATCATCAATTGCAATCTTCTGAGATGGAACACACTTAAATGAAAACATCCTTCAGAAACATAGTGGGATGAGATTTGGCACTCATAAGTAATTAAGAGTAAATCATGTTACATGTTGCTCACTACCTATTTGTATACTATAACTTAATATAGGATAATATAACAATGTAATATAATAAACAGTGTGTGTGTGTGTGTGTGTGTGTGTGTGTGTGTGTGTGTGCCAGATAACTCTAGCTTAAGGAAAACAGGAGAAAGGGTCAACTGCATCTGAAAAGATTCTACCACTATTTTTATCTTTCATGATCTTTGTGTCATTGAATAAAAAGGGTTTTGTATATAATGCCTGACAAGCAAAAATTGTGTGAAAACATTGTTCTACTTTTCCTTGGGGATTCACAAACATAGAAATGTTATTACCTTTCCTGTGCTGATATCTGGCTGCAGAAAACAGTCTGAATAATTAGCCCATGTTTTATTTGAACTATGAATAAAATCCCAGGTACCATTGGGGGTACAATGCCGGAAAGCAACTCCTGGAAAGACATGAAAGATGCTGAAGTTACACAGTTCCCCGCAAATCTGTTATTAAACATCAAAGAAAAGAGTAAATGTCTGGTTGCAATCAATCATCTCAGAAAAGTTCAATACCTTTATGATTGAAGTCATAAATATAAGGAGGGCATGGCACAGATGACATTTTCCCCACTGTCCCTCTAGGCCAACAGATAAGTCCATCCCATTCTGGGAGGCAATTACCTTCTGATGAGAAGAGAAAATAAAGAAAGACAAGAAAAGAATATTGAACAAATGCTTTCAACACAGAAAATTTCAGCTCAGTCCCTGTGGTAAAATGTAAACCCAGTAAGTTTGGAAACTAAAGCAGAAGAGATGAGATGCAAATGCCCCCAAATGTCTCATCATGGGCACATTATCAGGAGTCTTTGATTGGCTAAATTAAAGTAACTAAATCATTCCAGTATATTCACTGTGAAAGCGACAACAATTAATGTTCAAGAAACATTGGGATCACTGTGAACAACTCTAGCGTATTTCTTCCAACTGTCCTGGTTGTCGATATAAAATTTAACTTAGATTTTTAAAAACTGCTATTGAAGAACATGGCATGAAGAAGTGATTCAAGATTTATGTTCATTTTACCAATAAGTAGGAATCCTGTGCTCACCTCAGACACAGGTGTCATGGCTCCACACTTCTCTTTTTTTTATTAGTTCAAATTTACACTTCTCTTTTTTATTCTTATTTTCAATCTTTTATTTATTTTCTACTATGTACATTGGTGTTTTACCTGGATGTATGTCTCTGTGAGGGTGCCAAATCTCCTGGAGCTGGAGTCATAGATAGTTATGAGCTGCCGTGTGAGTGCTTGGAATTGAACCCTGGTCTTTTGGAAGAGCAGTCAGTGCTTTTAACCACTGAACCATCTCTCCAGCCCCCTCTACACTTCTTAAGATGAATGCAGTCTCATCATTGTTACGACCTCTAAGTCCACCACACCTCCAGCTAGAGTTGCTGGATGAGTTTCCAGCAGGTCATGCTTACTAAATATTCCCTCTGGTTTTTCTTCCTCCTCCTGTTTCTCTTCTTCTTCTTCTTCTTCTTCTTCTTCTTCTTCTTCTTCTTCCTCCTCCTCCTCCTCCTCCTCCTCCTCCTTCTCCTCCTCCTCCTCCTCCTCTCCCTCCTCCTCTTTCTCCTCTTCTTCCTCTTTCTCTCCACACCCCTAAGACCCTTTCCAGGACAATTTTCTACAGCTCTCCCCATCAGTGTGCTTGTGCTTCTCATGACTAGCTGTGGAAAATAATGCAACATGTTAGGATAGAGAGGGAGTCTAGCCAGAGAAGAGCAGGCTGTGTTCAAGTCCTTCTCAGACACAGGAAGTTCCTGGAACATAGTGTGTGTGTTCCCTGCGTTGTACATCCCAGGGTGGGAAGCTTTCTAAGGTCATTCAACCATCTGGGAAATAGTAGATCTGCTGTAGAGAGCCCATACATCGCAGTACTTGCCCAAGTCTAAGCCACTAGCCACAGTTTCATGATGAATCCTTGGTGTCTCTTGTCCTTGCTACCTGTTTAGCAAGTAAAGCTACTTCCTGTTATCTGTTGTGTGTCTGCATGTTCACTTACCCAATTCAAACATCAATGACACATTCGCTTTACTCATCATATTAGCTCCCAAATCCTCCCAAAGTCCCTTGCTCCCACCTCCCTCTGAGCCACAGTCTACTTCCTGGCTAGTTCTGAAGGCCCTAAGGATATGTCATCAACTTGTCCAGGTACAGCTCAGCTGCCTCTTGCTGGGTTTCAACCTTGTTCTTCATGGTCACCTCAGGACTCATCCCCTTACCTCCTCCAGACTTTTTCTCAAATGTCAACTTCTGAGTATACATTCCCAATCTAAAATTGCTTCCCAGTTCACCCCTCCCTCTCCTCCTACTGTCATTCTCCACAGGTCTCATCCCCTCCCAATATTACTTGGAGGTTTTTTTTTCCTATTGTTTTCATAAGTCACAGAAATCCAGGTGGAACTCTTCTGTCTGTTTTGTCTCAAGCATTAGCCCTGCTCCAGGCACAGCCCCTGATACTTAGTGGAGTTTAGCAAATGCTCACTGTCAATGCTGTGCTCCTCTGGGATCCTCTGCTTTGGTCATATACTGAACTACCAAGAAGAAAGCTTGTCAGCCACATCACACCTCCACTTCCCCAACAGACACTTGCCATGAGTGTTGCATTCATTCTCTATGACAAATTTCACTTTTAAAGAAGGTCGGAACTCTGGCTCAGTAAAGCCTTTGCTTATGAACACACAAAGCCAAAACCAAGGGCTGACAGGGCTGTGCTCCCTTCTGAAGACTCTGAAGGTGCACATATATTTCCCTGCTCATTTCAGTAGTTGGCAAAGTTCAGTTCCTCCACTGGGAAACTGGTTTCTTTCTGGCTATTAGCTGTGCACTTGTCCAACTTCTGAAAACAGTTCACGTAATTAGCTCCTGATTGCCTTCCTCCATCTTCACAGTCGGCAGCACACACTGGATCCTTCTTGCATTCTGAGTCCCTCTCTGTTCTCCTTTGTTTACAACTCAACTCATCCTGCCACCTTCCTCTTCCATTTTTCAAGGCCTGGATAATGATAGTGTGTAAACCCAGATAATCCAGAATTACTTCCACAGTTTAATGTATGGAAGTCCACCTACAAAGTCTCTTTTGGCTACGTAGCATAGCATACATAGGCATAACACTGTGTGCTAGCAGTAGATATTTTTAGGGGCTTGTTATTCTACTATCACAAGTACTAGCTAACACTCATCGTGTCAAATCATTTTGTTTGAAAGTCAGCCCAATAGAACCTCATACAAACACTTATAATAATTCAGCACCAACCTGGAATTAACTTCTCAGTGTCACATAGAAATAAACATTTGATCTGTTTTGTGTCTTGCTGACAGGAATAAGAAAAGAAAAATGTCTTCATTCACCCACACTGTTCTCACAGAAGAGAACATTTTCCTGGAAACAGCCTCACTTCCCTCACACAATCACAGCCCGACTTCACACACCTCAGGCAACCTAGGGATTCATCCCACTGCCATTTGCTTCAGATGTACCATTGCATCTGCCTCTCTCTCGACAGCATCTGCCTTTGCTGTTGCTGTTGCTAGATGTGGTGGTCCTTTGCTTTTCTTGTTGGGCACCATGGTTAACCATATGACTTCCTGCCCATTTACTTTGTGGTTAATAAGGCATGTGTCTTTTCATATCCAGACTATTGCTAAAGTTTGGGTCTTAAATGCTCCACAAGGTACCATGGGTTAAATGCTTAGTCATAGCTTGTGCTATTGGGAGGTGGAAGGGACTTTTATGTGTGAGGGCCAGTGGTGCATCTTCTGATGATTGGGAATGGTCCCTGGAAGGACCAGGGCTCCTTCCTTCCTCTTTCCAGGAGTTGAATAGCTTTGCTCTATAATGTGTTTTTGCCATGTTATCCCGAAGCAACACTGGCAACCAGCCATGGAATTAAACCAAAAGTGTGAGCCAGAATAAACCTTTTTCTGTATAAGCTTACTTATCCCAGTCATTTCTTATTATTGCAGAAGGCTAATACTACTATCCAATCAACATGTACCCAATACATATTTCACAAGCAACACAAACTGGAAGCATGGTCTTGTTTTCCCGTCTGGAAAATACATACTGCAGTGTCGTGTGCTGTATTTGGGAGTTAGTCCCACAATGAATTAAAGTCTTCGTATATATCTAAAGTCTTTGGGTCAGTATGTTATACAGTTACTCAGTGTTAAAATGTCTATGAAAACGAGTTTTCTTAGGTTGTGAGACAGTCTTCTGGTTTCTACAAGAAACCATTGAATGAACACAGCCATGGACCTCACCCCTAAATTCAGAACACTAACAGCCTTCAAAACAATGTTTTTATAGAATATGTTAATGCCTCAGGTGGATCTTTGATATAAGAATGATAAATATTCACAAAAAGTTGTAAAGACTGGGGAAGCCCGAACCTCAAGCATGCAATATGGAGCTTTTAACATCTCCTTGGCCATGGTGTGAGAAATACTTCCAGCTTTGGCACAAAACTGATTGCTAATGACTCATCGATCTTCCTTTTATAAATTAACACCACTAGTGATAACTCTGACTCCTGTCTATATCCCAAGAAAAGCCCTATTTACACAGAATGGTCTAAAATTTAGAAAATCCAACTTTTATCCTTTTAACTCTTGAGTTACTCATAAGAAAATCAGACCATACTTGGAAGGAGAACCAGAAGGAATGAAACCTTCATTCTTTTTTGTTTTTTAAATCTTCAATAATTTTGTGACTAGGTATTTGCATTTACAGTTTTCCTTTGATAGATATTTGGAAGTGTTCATGTTCTTATTATAATTTTAAATGTTTAGTTATTTAATTTTGTGTATATGTGTGTCTGTCTGTCTACCAGAGTGTATGAATTTGCATGACATGTGTGCAGTGCCTAAGGAGGTAAGATGAGGCATCAGACCCTTGGAACTTGACATGTGGTTGTTAAGAATTGAATTCAGGTCCTCTGCAAGAGGAGCCAGTGCTCTTAACCTCTGAGCCTTCTCACCCATCCCAAATTTCTTCAGAAATAAAAAATAATATATTGTTGTAACACAGAATTGATAGTTATTGGTGTTTTATAGTATATTTAACTTACTTTTTGTTATAGTTTTGCAATGATTGTATGCATTCTAACAGCCCCTTTCTAAATATTTTTATATCTGCCTTTCAACTTTAAGACCATTTAAAATGAAATTTTTTTAAGTTAGCTAGCAAATTCAAAATGTCAGTCTAGTCTTTAGCAACTTTGAAGTGCAGAATGCTTTACTCAATTTACATATCATTAAACATTTTCACTAAAAGGTACACCAAAGTGTGACCACATCTAATTCTATATTATTTCTGTATGAAGAAAGACCTTAAAGCAAGAGTCCTCTTTTTTACTATTTATTCATGCACATACGCACATATTCACAAATGTCAGTACATCCAAATAATTTATTCTTCTTTTTGATGTTCCTACAGCCTATTACTGATCTATACTGGGACTTGAACCCTGGTCTTCTAGAAGAGCAGTCAATGTTCTTAACTGCTGAGCCATCTCTCCAGCCCGCAGATTAAACTTTTTAAAACACAAAGATTATCAGAATAACTATGCACAAAATTCATGTGTGAGCTGTTTACATAAAATGCTTCTAGGTGGATGTGGTGGCACACATCTTTAATCTCAACATTTGGGGGGCAGGGGCATGGCACAGAGGGAGGTAGATCTCTGTAAACTTGAGGCTCACATGCTCTACAGAGTGCATTCCTGGCTGTTTCCTCTCTCAAAATAAAACAAAAAGACATTCCTAGAATTTAAGTATATGGAAAGTTTAACAAAATACTGGGAAATATAAATGCTTGTTTAAAATATATTAATTATTATACATTTTCAAGATGAAAAATTTCTGGAGATTGGGTGCATAATAATGTGAATATACTTATTACTTGAGCAGTAGTATACTTAGGTGCTGATAAAATGGTAAATTTAAAATTGTGTACACTACATTACATTTAAAACATTTTTAAAGGATTGGAAAAGTTACACTTAACTAACAAAGCAAGAAATAAGTTGGTGTTGATCAAATTTTAGTGTGATCATTTAAGTATACATAATTTCAGGATTCTAATCAAAAGTATCTCTAGAGTTATAGAAGCCTTCTTTATATTGACAAAATATTTAATCACTGGAAAGCAAATTTCTAAACTTGCATATATTGAATAACAGTTTCAAAGTATATGAAGTGAAAATGTCCAATAAACTTTTCAATGAAAAATTCCCCAGCATGCTACTATAAAAACATGTATCTTGGGAAATAATAAGTCAAGTGATCATCTGAATATAGAGTATATGAACAGCATAACTGAGGAGCTTAACCCAGCAGATTCTATAAAACACTGTAGTGGAAAAGTGGAGCACACACATTCCTTTGAAAACCACATAGATCATTCACCAAAAGTGGCTACAGTAGAAACCATTAAGTCTCAACACACTTTGATAAGTCACGATCATGCAAACTACATTCTCTGACGATAACAAATGGAAAAAATCAGTCACAATTTTTTAACTTTTTAAACCAGTATAAGTAGATGCCCATCTGCAAACTACAGGAAGTATAACTTTAAGGACATTGCTTCATACGATTAGTTGGGATTTAGCAGGCTCATTAAATCAACCTCTACTTCTGACCTGAATTTAGAAATAATTAAGAGATTACTCAAAAACTCAGGAAATAGTAATTTCCTGGAAATTAAGTTATCATTTTATTTTAAAAGTTTTCTGTAGAACACGGCTTAGGGACTGGTCTGAACTGAGATCACAACCATAGACTATAGGCAATATCAGCAGGGGCAGTCTACCACCCTCCGAGCTTACTGAATAGTCAAAGGCAAGTCAACATGCAGGCTCCCCACAAGCAGGCAAATCCAAAGAGAGGTCACACATGCACATGCCCAGTTGATACTCCCCTACTCATGAATCAGACAAGTCACTTGTTTCAAAGGGAAAGTATGTGTGGTAAAAGGTGGAAGAACTTCATTCTCTTTGCATAACTTCCACATGGAAACATGGAATGGTTGACGAGAATCTCCCTAGCACTAAGGGAGATTATTTAAAATTTTTGTGAAGATAAGTGTAGGGGAAGCTGTAGCCACGCCTTCTTAGGGGCTGGCTACAAGAGTACCTGAGGGCTTGTGAGGGCGTGGTCAGAGTGAGTAGGGGGACTGCGTTTTTGGTTTCGGTTTCTCTTTGCTTCTTGCTGTACAGACTACCACCGGCTGGCTGGTTCGCTCTGTAAGTAAGGCTTTTTCCTATTAAATACCCTTATATTTCTACCTGACTCCGTACTGGTAATTTCTTACTATATCTGGTGTCAGGAGTGGCTTACTATAGATAAGATTGAAGAACACAAAGAAAAGACATGCTTCTTGGCATCATTACCTCCTTCTTGGAGTTGAGTTGTAATGTTGAGCTCACATTGCACTTTAGCTTTCATAACAAGAACAATCTGCTCTTCTATAGTGATGGTGCCATCAGAATCCAGCTGTGGAAGCAAATGAAAAGCCATCATTCCCCAACATCTTCAAAACAGGATAAAGTTCTCACTATTTCACTTCAATCAAGCTATCTGAAACAGTCCCTTATCAGAATGCAATATTGGGGTTTGGATATCCACTGTCCTCCATAGGCTCATGAACTGAGTTTTTGGTCCCAGGTGATGGTGCTACTTGGGGGCTCTTTAAAAACCTAAAAGATCTGATAGAACTGCAAGAATTCATCAGAGGTCATCCAGAGGTGGGTCCTTAAAAGAATATTATCCATGGGCATTTCCTATCTCCTCCCAGCTGCCTAGTTGGCCATGAAATAAGTGAGTATCTCTACTCCACCCATACATGGTTGTGGTGTCACGCTGTTTTACCATATTTCACAGGTGTCAAGCGATCATAAAGACTGAATCATTTGAGACTATGAGTCAAAATAAGTCTGTCCTTCTTTAAGGTTGTTCTGTCCAGTACTTAATTAAAGTAATAAAAGGAAACTAGTGCATATATCAACATCATCTTTTGGGGTGATTTTGATATAGTACCAGAAAATGTAAGAAAACTCGAAATGGTGACTAGGTAATTACATTAGAAATAATGTAAGTAGAAGAAATAATAAATACTGAGAATGCCTAGCTTATTATGAAGGCACAATACATTACTAATTCTTTCACAATATGACAGTTATATTACATAGAAATAGAAGACTAACTTTAGCTCTACCAGAAAAATGATCAGCAAAACCTGGACATAACACACAGCATCTGACTTTGAGTTTATTTATCTGTTAAAGAAATAGGTTACTCTAAATGATCTCTATTCATCTCCTTGTCTTAAAACTGGGAACTTTATAATGGGGGCAAGATATGCACCCGTAGATCTTTTATCCATTTGAGCAGTATTTATTATTTGCATATGAAAATCATGTGCTTTGTGAAGCAAGAAAGAACATAATACCAAGGACATTAAGCACATTTGTGCAAGTGTTGTTCCTGACCTTGGAGTGACATGAAATGATAGTGTAATTAAAACAGGAGCAATCTTCCTCCCCAGTTTCTATTACTCCAAAAGCAACAATTGCATCCACAACAAAGTGTCACATTTAGAAAAACAGACATTAGTCATTTGTTCTGGGAAAGTGATCACTCATAACTTGAAATAAAGTATTGAATTCCAATGTCAGAGACTTAACATGTAAGAGAAGCCCTAATTTGATTGTGTGTGTTATAATGAAAGTTCATAAACTTGTCACTGTAGATATGAATTCTTAATGTCATAATATTAAAGTCCTCATGATTACAATAATTACAATACCTTGCATATTCTATTTTCAAGTAGATATCATGCAATAAGCTAGAAATATTCAAGAGGAATCATTCTGGAATTTTAGTACCAATAGAATAAGCAAACATTCCCCTATTCATCCCAGAAACCACAACTAAAAGCCCTAGAATAGAGATAAAAATAAAGATCAGTAGATAGATGATAGATAAATGATAGATACATACATACATACATAGGATGGATGGATATATAAGAGATAGGTAGGTAGAGATAGATAGATAGATAGATAGATAGATAGATAGATAGATAGATAGATAGATAGATGGATCAGTCAGTTGGTAGATGGGTAGGTAGATATATAGAATAATAGATGACTGATTAGATAGATGATAGAAATACATAAAGAGGGAGAAAGGGAGGGAGGGAGAAAGGAAGGAAGGAAGGAAGGAAGGAAGGAAGGAAGGAAGGAAGGAAGGAAGGAAGATAAAATTAAGAATCTTCTGAGAGACGCAGAGAAGAAAGCACACCAGGCCAGGACTTCGGATCCTGGAGAATGGCACTGTAGAAAGTGACTTACATTTATTTTCTGACTCATACACCATAAATGTGCAGTTAAAGTCATTGGAAACTCTGAAACACTAACAAAGATAAATTGGCATCAAGAAAAGTCTCTGAACCCAAGGAAGAAAAAAGGCATCTGACAATACAGAAAACTTACAGATGTGAGTAGTCTGGCCCGGTCAACTAATAGCCAACTGTGGGAAGTCTGAATGTGTAGCCTAGCAAGACAGACACAGACGCCCTTATGATCTTCTATAGTGGTTTAAGAGAAAGGAAAAAACAGAACATTAGACCTAAGAGGCTGACTTTTTCACCCTCAATATCTGCGTGTCAATAAAGACTGTGTTGGCAACCTAGGAGCCAGCAACATTAAATGGAGTGAGAGATGGGAGGGTGGAGTACAGAAGAAAATGTGAGGGAGGATGACAACCCCTAAAGACATGTCAAAGTCATATGAAAACCTACAACTGCAGATGCTTCTCTATATATGGTTTAAATGGAGTTACACTCTAAAGGGGCAACAATGTCCCTACTAAACACCACAGACAAAAAGCCCAGTACCAGGAATAGGTTGTCTCTTTTGGAGTTGTTTGCCAATAAGGTTCTGCAGAGTCCCAAATATTAGAGGTTATTGTCAATGCTCTTGGTTACTTTCCAAGCTTGACAGTAAGACCCTGTTGCTGAAGACAGTTCAACATGGAGAAATCAAACTGCTACACACCTGGAAGCTTCATCCCTTCTGTCTTGTTTCATATGGCTGGAAGGTTCTATGCACACTAACAATGGAGAAAAGTAATCACCAATCTTACTCAGTTGTGAACCCTGTGAGCTACAGTAACATCAGGCCTGTCAAGACATACCCACTGGTGCAATAGTGGCCTCATGGGAGTAGCCAACAACTTTACAGTTGGATTTAAAACACACTCCACAAGGTGAAACCGAGATCTGGCACAGTTGATGGGACCAAAAACCTGTGGCGAGACAGGCCATAGGCCTTAGGGGAGCACCTACTGCTATAATTCTACTAAATGGACTTAGTCAGCAAACTGATCTTCAATGACTTATCATTGTACCTATAGATTAGTTCATCTCTCAACCCTCATTACAGATGTTTCCATTTGAGGTAGATGGTGAGTGACACATAGATCTACAACTGGTCAAGGCACAAAGAATGAAAGGCTGTGAAATGCTCAGCCCTAAATGCAACATCTCTACCACACCCCTTCCTGTCAAGACCCAGGAATCATTGAAGATAAGGAAGTGGAAAGAGGCAGAGGCAGTGGATGACTTCAAGGGAACCATTCTCCAAACACAGCCAGGCAGTTCCACATATAAACTTGGGGTTAGCAGTTTGTGACAGCGTGCACAGGACCTGATCAAGTTCAAACCAGGTGAAGTCCCAGCATGATGAGCAGAGATGGGTTCAAAGTCCCACACCTATCTGAGGAGCTCCTAGCAATCGATAAATGCTGGGAAAAGGAGAGTCAGTTTTCTTTAGTGGTGTGGCCCCTGGTAGGTTGATGTGGTGATTTGAAAGAAAATTGCTCTCAGAGGGAGTGGCACTATTAGAAGGTGTGTTCTTGTTGGAGTAGGTGCCGTCTCATTGGAGGAAGTGTGTCACTGTGGAGATGGGCTCTGAGGTATCAAATATGCTCAAGCCAGGCCCAGTGAGACAGGCCCTGTTACCTACAAGAATAAGGACTCTTAGCTACTTGTCCAGCACCATGTCTGCCTGCTCACTGCCATGTCCCACCACAATGGACTGAACCTCTGAAACTGTAAGTAAGCCACCCCAATTAAATGTTTTCCTTTATAAGAGTTGTCATGGTCATAGTGTCCCTTCACAGCAATAGAAACCCTAATTAAGACAATTGGCCATGTTCCATATACATCCAAGACTATATGAGTTGCATAGATGGTCTTGATAATTATTAAAAATCTAAACAGGATATGCAGTTGGATATGTAGGAAAGAGGGTGGATCTAGGAGGAATTGGATGAGGGAAGAATATAATCAAAACACATTTTATAAGACTCTCAAGAATCAATTTAAAAATTAGAAAAAAACATGAATTACAGATAATAATGTAGGGTTCTCATCTATCCCCCTGCTGTTTTCCTTTTGCTATCTTAATAAATATATTTTTATAAGTGACAAATTAATATTGATGTATTAGTACCAGTTAATGTTCACACTTATACATACATATTCTTTATACAGCTCCCCTTACATTTTAACTTAATGTCTTCCTGTGTTCCAACAGCTCACCAAAATGTCACAGTACAATTCATGATATTTTCTTAGGATTTTCCACACTTCCTCACTTTTAACTATCTTCATAGCTTGAGGAGCATTGATCAGGCATTTTACATGAAGTCTGTAGTTAAGATTTATCCGGTGTTTTGCTTGAGAGTGGACTGATGTACCGTATTTGGAAGTGGAAGACCACAGAAGTGAGGTGTCATCCATAAAGCACCATATCAACAGCATGTAGAGTCAATATGCTTCACTGTGGAGTCAACCTTGGTCTTTCTTTTGGACTTTATTCAAACATCAAAAGCATAAAATTGGAGCCGGGCAGTGGTGGTGCACGTCTTTAGTCCCAGCACTTGGGAGGCACAGGCAGGCAGATCTCTGTGAGTTCGAGACCTACCTGGTCTACAAGAGCTAGTTCCAGGTCAGCCTCCAAAGCCACAGAGAAACCCTGTCTCGAAAAAGCAAAAAAAAAAAAAAAAAAGGCAAAAAACTAGCCCTCAACCTGTACTGAAGTAGGTGATAGGTCATATTTGGATGTCAGACTACAATTTGTCAATTTATGTTTAAGTGGATAAAATTTTTGAAACAAGTTTGAGAATTGAAGTTATGTTAACTCAGAATTACCTATTATAGTGAGAATGGTTGTAAGAAAACATGCACTGTCTTTAGTGGCTGACAGAAAATGCAAAATATATAAGAAAATAAATAATACAGTGGCTATTGCTTATGGAGTAGTTAGGAGAAATACTAAAGGCGATTCAACTATGTAAGATGTCCTATAAAATTATCCTTAACTGTAGATGTCACTACCTATATCAAGAATATAATCTGTAGAGTGAATTCTCCTTTGGTTTTAGTTGTGAAATTACTCAACGTGACTAATTAGATAAAATGGATAAGT